CAAGCACGAGAAAGGCCGCGACAAAAGGAAGAGGAAAGGGGAAGGAACGCAGTCGATCGCAATCCAGATCACTTACGCCAGGCTCTCGGAAGGAGACGTGCAAGTTCTGGAAGGCAGGCCACTGTCATCGTGTCACGGACTGCGCGTTCCAACGCCCAAGAGAAAACTGTCCCTGCGAAGAAAGAGGACAAGAAGAAGAAAAAGAAGAAGGAAAAGCCACGCAAGAGAAGTAGCTCTTGTGGATCATCATGCTTCGATGCTTCCACTGGCTCTGAAAGCCAGCGGAAGAAAGGTGGAAAGTCTTCTTCTTCGACCGCGCCGGCAGCTGCCTGCCTCCTGCGTGCGATGGTCATGGCCGCAGTGGTCTCTCAAGGATCCTGCGTCCCCATCACTCGCCAGCTGGGAAGCGTGGCCATGCCGGTCCTCTCCTCATCACAGACTATGTGCACCGATTTTGACAACGCAGAAAACATTGACAGTTTTGTAAAGCAACAGATTCGTTTTGACGATTGTCCACGTGTGTTCACCCATGCTGTTGAGTCTTCCCCCAGTTGGAGGGCAGTCCAATCCCGTCCAAAGAAGAAGAGGAAACGGTTTACACCTGATCGTCCTGAGTATGCAGAAGCCGTTCGTGTCGCTACTGAAGACGCTACTATAGCAGCCTCTCACCTGCAGAACGCCGTCAGGAATGAGCTTTGTTCATTGCCTGCAGCATGTTCGTACCTTTGCAACTCCGACGTTGTGTTTTGGGGTGAGATCATCAACTTCAGTCCCTGCTACTGAGATTGCATGGATTGCTGACACGGGTAGTGCACATGATCTTGTATCTAGGCGCATGCTTCACTCGGACGAAGTTTCCCAATCTTCGAATCCAGCGAGTCTTCTTACTGCCAACGGTGTGTTTCAGGCCACCGATCAAGCAAAGGTCAATGCTCCTATTTTGGGCGCAGATATTAGACCTCATGTTCTCGATGGCAGCCCAGCCGTCGTGTCGGTTGGACAACGCTGTATTGATGCCGGATGGAGCTTCCATTGGCCCGCGTTTAGTAGGCCCTATTTCAAGAAACCTGATGGTACAAAGGTGAAACTTGAGGTTGATGATTACGTTCCATACTTGCCGTCATCAACTGGTGTTCCGCCATAGGTCAACCTTATGGGAAGACAAACCGGCCAGGGGGACCACGACCCATGGTTCCAATTCCTGCAACTCCGGCTGAAGAGGCTGTTGAGGTCGAGGATGATGAAGACAACCCGATTGGTGAGGATCCCGTTGAGGAGGAGCCAGAACCATCGGATGATCGCTTGGTTGAGAAGCCATTGGATCCCAAGCGCGGCCGGGGAACGATTGCTTTGAAGGAAGAAGCTCAGTCAATTCAGCATTTGTTGACCCATACTCCAAAGAACCCCTTTTGCCAGGCATGCTCTAGAGTCTAGAGCCAAGATGACCAAAAGACCTTCCTACAGTAAAGGTGGATGCACACAAGTCGAGGCTGACAGGTTTGGACAGCGCCTGACTGCCGACCATGTCATTCTCCGGGACGATGAAGAGATAGACATTGATGGAGCCCGAGTAGCGCTGGTTGTAAAAGATGTTGCAACAGACTTCAGGTATGTACACCCTTCCGCAAGACGCTCAACTTGGGAGTGCGTTGCAGGATTTAAACATTTCATCAAGTCGACCGATGAGGTTGGAATCTTTTACTCTGACAACTCACCGGAGCTCATCGCAACCAGCTACGCGTAGTACGTGTGTAAGACCAATGCGGTAGCCGAGAGGTCCATTCGATCAGTCATCGACGGCGCTCGAGTAAACCTAGAGCAAGCAGGCCTCCACCACCAATACTGTGCTGGGCGCATGCCGCAGACATGCGCGCGTGGCCAAAAACATTGTCGACGCCCGGGAGGGTAGTTCGCCTTGGTCGCAACGATTCAGTGAGAAATTCAAAGGCCCTTTAGTTCCTTTTGGGTTGAGGGTTGATTACTGGATCGGTCCGACGAGCAAGGTCAAGTCTTCTCTCAGGTTCGAGCCGACGTCCAATCCCGGAGTCTTTCTGGGATATGCCATTCAACCCGATTGTGTGGAGGAAGGAGTTCGTAGTGCTTCCGCTGAAGGACGTCATGGAGTCGGACTTCGCTGCAGAGATACAACCACTGAGGGTTCACCAGATTGCTGTGCCTGACATCGGATTGCATTTTCCCTGCAAAGGTAGGTGCAACATGATTCGTGAAGGGTTGTGCCCGGGACTTACAATATCAAGCAACCACCTTCGATTGATAGATGGCGTTAGGGCTGCCAGTGTTGATGAGCTTGTTGATCAGGATGTCATGGATCTTGTTATTGAACATGGGTATGAACCGGATGAACCACCCCAACTCCCAGAAGCGCTCGTCGAAGCACCGGATGTTGCTCGCGGATCGGGAGACCTAAGTCATCGACGTGTAAACAAACGAAACCTTGGACTTCTCGTCCATTTGCATTGTTGCGTGCAATGGGATCCATAAGATATTCAAGTGCAGCGTCAAGGGTTGCCAGTCCATCTGACATTCTGTTTCTGTTCTCCTTGATACCGCTAGTGCGTGCCTTTGTCTGTTGTGATCCGTAGAGGGTGTAAGTACAGCGGTCTGCACGAGTCGGAACTAGGCCGTAACTGGTGAGTGACTTATCAACTGCGTTCCACCATTTACGGGGTGCATCATTGAGACCATATCCCGGCTTCTTAAGTCGAGCGGCCATATATGGAGGATATCCTAGTTCTGACGGAATCTGGCAAATGACATCACGAGATTCATCAAATGCCTCTCCTTGCAGGAACGCTGTCTTCAAGCCCATGTGAAACAGTGACCAACGACGATTAGCAGCTACCTGGGTTACGCAACGAAAACCAGATCTAGAAGCTGCAGGCGAATCTGTCTGTCTGTTGTTGCTGTTTCTGCTTGTCTTCAAATCCTCTAAGAGCCCATCGGGCGTTACGCTTCAAGAACTTACCGTCCTTGTCGCGCTTCAGGGTCAAAGCCCATCTTCCGGATACAAAGTTGCGGACTTGCATCTTTCTTGTGTCAACAAGATCATAGACATCATTGTCGATCCACGATTGCGTTTCCGCCATCTTGGCTTCTAGGAATTGCTTGGCAAGTTCACGTTTCTCTTGTTGTGTTGCTTCCTTGCGCTTCTTTCCTACCAAGCAGGCGAACTTGTCATCAGTGGATTGAAACAAAGTCAAGTATGCCTTGTCTTCCTCACCAAGTCCGGAATACACTTTCTTCAATGTCTGACTTATCCTTCGCGCGCGACCGGTGCGAAAACCGGTAGTTCGGTTTAGCATGTAAGTCAATGTAGTGGCCATCACCTGCATAAACAAACGTTGATTCAACGGTGCGAACATTGACTGGGACTGAATCAATATACCTAGGCACTGAGAAAGATGCTGTGTTGGAACAAAGCTTGTGCTCAGCGGTCAGGTATGACCATTGTGTCTCGTCAATGTACAGAGCATCGGGGTCAAATGTCTCTGAATCTGTCTCATTGTCTTCTTCATCTTCTTCTCCGGTGACGGGTTCTTCTTCTTCTATAGGTTTAGGAACAAGTGTCGGATCACCGGGTATTGTCTCAGCATCACTGTCTGCTGCTTCGGTAGGTATCGGCAGTACCATTGTCGCGCTAGGCGGTTGTAATGCTGGTTGTGACGATGAAGAGGTCGTTCAAACATGAAGTGAAGCGCGAATTTGGGGTGAACGCAGTGAACTCTTTGCGGAGGTCGTGCGTGTCGGATGCTTAAGCACGAGGTGACATGCGATGCGGTGTGCCGGATGAACCCTTTGCCGAGATCGTGCGTGTTGAGTTGCCAAAGTGTGTAACTGTCGTCGAAACGAAGGTGGGGTCCAAACCTGCATGCATGTGCATGCTTTTGGACGCGGCTTCGTTGGGGATTGCCAGTCGCTCAAAGTTGCACAGCGTGCAGGAGATGAAGGCCGCAAATCTGCTGCATTGGCCTGCTGCTTTCCACCGGTGTTCTTCATCGTCTCTTTGGCGCACTGGGTTGTTCTGTGACACTTGAGCACAAGAGAAACCAGGAATTTTTTTCCCCCTAAGCGGGCTGTAGGTTCTTTGTGTTGAACCCCGAGGTCGCTCGCTGGCTCGACTCCGTCTTTTGAAGGGTCCGACTCTGCAACGCATTGCGTGTCAACTGCTTCCCAGCTGGCGGGCAAAAAGAGTCAGCGCAGTTGCTCTTCTGTGCATAGGTTGAAGATCCTTGGGATCTGCATGTGATTGACGGTGCTGAGATGGCAGCACACGCGGGAAGATACAGCAGGCTTTTCGACCACCCGTCTGAGCAGTCTAAAGATCATTGTGTGGGTTTCCCATCGCTTGATTGTGCCACGTCGACTCTGAATTCCATATGGTGGCGTAAGTGGTGACCCAGAACATTGCAATCACACAGGACACACAGATATAGAAAAACATCGAAAGGCATATACAGATGGCTAGAATGTGTATGTATATATATATATATAGACACACACGACACACACACACACACCCCTTGCGCCCTCAATGCAGACATCATTTCTTGACTGCCGGGCAGAGCAGGAATGCATTTTCACAGTAATTTGGACTCACATGCGATTCCTGTGACGGCCAAGAGATGCAACCTAAACACTGCAGGCCCTAAGTAGGAAAGCACTGCCAAACATTCGCTCTTTCAAGAGGTGAAGGGGGACGGGCGGCCTCCTTTGACTCAACTGGCCATGGATGCCTGCGCGCTGCTCAGGGGGCGGCACAAAAGAACTGCATGAGGGCAGGGTGGTCGCAGGTGGTGCGGATTGAACTACGCAAGTTTGGCTGCGAGAATGCATTCACACAACCATTGAACAAGTAGAAACCGCATTGAAGCATTTGACTAATAGAATGCATGTCTTCAAGCAGTTTCGGAATGCAAACTCATTGCTCCCCATCATGCCATCGTAAATACCACAGTACATCATAGTACCATTTGTTGGTACATGTCTACCCACAAATGCGGTGAACTGCCTCAGTCGCGAGTTCCATGTCGCAGATTCAAGCTTGTCAGCTGCGGATATCTGAGTTGCGAGGAAGCCTTGCCATCCTGGCGGAGCGTTGCGCAAGCCTTGAGCAACTGCACGAAGGAACAGTCGAGAGGCTGAGGTCATTTAGTTCAACAAAGGCTGCACCTGCTCCGACATACGGCACAAACAAAGACCACGATGCCGTGACAGCCGTGCACCTGAAAAAACAGTCCACGGCGAAGCTGCGCTGTTTCCAGAATCGCCACAGTGATTTGATGAAATGCTTGCAACAAATATTCACAGAAGGACAAGCAGAGAGTTGGGTTGGCTTGAAGAAGACTTCGCCCACCCATGATGCCAGCCACAGTGCCAGCCCTCGCCGTACTTCGCCAGATGCTGAAGAAGTTCTGGCAAAATCTCCGGCCGTGTCGTTGGAAAAGCATGTTGCTTGTGAGACTGGCAGTGCGAACGTTCAAGTGATGTTGTTGGACGGGCCGGCCGCAAAATTGAGGTCTAGACTGCGTGACAGGGCCAGAACTTTGCAATTTTTTTAGTGGGTTCCCAATGTTATACGTAGCCTAAGCAGAAACATGCAGCTTATGACTTGGGGTGCTTGCATACTTGAGCCAAGGCTTTCATGACATCCAAGAACATTCTCCAAGAAGGAATCTACTTGGCAACTGTGGGCCATGTCCAAGCACAGAGTCGAGAGTCATTGGGAGCACCTATCCGGCTCGAACATTTCCCGGCGCTGAACCTTTCCAAGCTTCAAGAACAAGGAGCGGTGAAGCAGCGCAAGCTGTTGACAAGAATGGAAGAAGCCGCGTGGATGAAATTCGACGCCGTGCAGCTGAAATTGAAACTAGGCGGGCATCAATGTGCCCAGAACATGATTCAATAGGCGTTTCACTCCGTTCGCGCTCTCCTATAAGCGATGTGTGGGCAACTTGTTCAGAAAACGCCACAACTCTCCCCACTGAGTCCGGTAACCGGTCTGGAGGTTCAAACAATGAATTCCTTGGCTTCGTGCCTAACGATTCGGAACAGATCTTGGAGCCACTGACTGCGCCTTTGCCTGGCCCAAATATGACTTTGGCTCCGTTTGGCCCTCAGACGCCCTACGCCGTGTCTTTAAATGCTGGGATGCTTCCATCTTGGCAGCGCTCAGTGTAAGATGGGGGCTTGTGGACAGAAGGTGCATGTTTTATTCCGATGCCCGCTGCAACGTCTGTGCGAAGCATGCGTTGGCTGGCTTGTTATGCTAATGACGCAAGCGCATGAAAAATTAAGCAAATTGAAGTCCGGACCGCTCTGCGATTCTTGAAACTAGTGTACTGAAGAGCACATGGCTTGACGGACCTCAGGCCAACTGCAGCTGTCAAGACCCTAGAGTCGCTAGAGACGTCGAGCAAAAGGGTCAAGGGTACTTGAGTCACTGAAGCAAGTTGTGACGACATTTGGAGGAAGGAGATGGAAGGAGACATTTCATTGTTTTTGTGCTTTGAAAGGTAATTGGTTGGAGAATATCGAGACTGCAGACATGGTCACATGGTTGTTGTGGTTGTAGTTTTAGCTCCTGCTCATGATGCATTTTGGGGGTCCCCGATTCTCGTCACTGTCCCTAGTCTCTCTATGGCCTTTTGGTCAGATTTTGGCATAGGCACAAGATGGCATAAGGCATAAGGTTTGTGCTCCGGTCCGGGTCTGATTCATTTGCTCACTAGACTGTTGTGGCTTCTTAGCCACGCCAGGCTTGTTAGACATGGGAATGGCAACCGCTGCCCCTCCCAGGGGAGCAAGATTTATGTGAGATCAAGCTGCTGTGCTAGCTCATGCCCATGGATATCCTCAGCTACTGTATGATGGATTTGGATGAAGATTGCTCCAGTGGTGGTGAGCCTCACATTTTTGGAAGCTAGCCACAAACGTCTTGCAGGTTGGTAGTGCCAATGGTGGTCTCATATTTTTGCAGACAGGCAGGGAAGAAATGATTGGCAGGGTTTGGCTTTCAATGAGCTACTACTTACTGTGCAACATAGTTGCAGTATGAACGCAGCTACCTTGTCCCGGTGCCGGAGTTGCAAGGATTCGCAGTCTGGCATAATATAAAGTGTCTTCAAAATCAGTGATTATCACAATTGCATAAGAGTGTTTCATTCATGTGCTGTCATGCCCCAAGCCCTGGCAAACGATAGGGGACAGAAAAACGGTAGTTCCAGCACATTGAGAAGCGATAGGAAGCTCACAAATTTGACCATGCAATAGCCGCGCACAACCGTACTGCACGTACCTCAAAAAATGTCCGCAGGTTGGATGCTGCGCTTTGTGATGGTCTCTTCACAGGCTCCTGGGATTTTCTGGGGCACTTCGCAAAAGACATGCACACTTTGCATTCTAGAAGTGGGCCTGGTGCAAGTTAGCAGGCAGTCGTAAGGTAATGATGTTGTTTTCAGTCACAGGGTTGCACTGAAGTTAAGAGAGACCCACAAAAATGGTTTGTGAGATTCTGCCAGTGCTTGTTTTGCCGCCCTGCCCTGGCAGGCGGTTGCAAGCACATCCTGTCCTTGGAGCTGCAAAGTGGAGATAAAACATGTTTGCGTTAGTCATGAAGGCCTATGTAGACTTGAAAAGATTTGATTCGTGGTTTCGCATCAGTCAATGAGTTGTTGCAAACGCAAGCAATCATGTTTGTTCTACTTATGCACGGGACCAAGATGGACCAAGTGGGGAATTGTCAGTCATCACCGATCACCTTTGCGGAGGTATGTGTACTCAAGTGTGCTCCGTGTCCGGAGTACATATCACAGGAAACAGTGAAGGTCTTCGTTGATGCCAGCCTCACTTACCCCCCTGGCGTCCCCTACTACTAGTAGGTCAGTATTGTACAATGCCAACGAACCAGTGAGGTTCAGTACTCGTGCACAATAGGGCTCTTTGGATCAATCATTTGATCCAAAGAGGTAATAAGATGTAAACATGTACACGGGCTCTGTACAAACGTTCAGAGAGGACGAGGTGGGCGAGCTGGTGAAGGTGAGCGAGAGCGCAAAGTGACAGGTGGAGAAGAAGCAGCCCGGCCCCGTGCCGGAGGAGTTGAGCGAGTAAAGCTGATGACGTCAGAGCACATGCTGGAGGGGTGCTCGAGTTGGGATCCGGAGCAAGATCCCTGCAAGTCCTTCGCCCTTGGCCAGGAAGAAGTGAACCGGATTGTGCAGGGTTAGTCAAGAGACTGGAGCTGACATGCTAAATGTATGAGGGAGTCGAAGGAACCGTGGTGTCTGATTGCCCACACAACCCGTCCAACGGGAGGATGACAGATAGAATCAGGTCCCGCAGTAGAGGAATGTTCAACAAGCGCAGGATGAGCCAATCCAAGATCAGGAATCCAAGTTTTATTCGTAGATAGCTAGATATGAAGTCCAAAAAAGAAGGCGCAGAAGGGGGAAAGAGCGCCGTTTCCAGCAACATGTTGAGCAGAGGCGGACGAGGCAAAGCAATGCGCAAAGAATATACAAGGTGTGACAGACGAGTGGATGAAGGAAGAAGAAGAGGAAGGGAGGACAGGGAGGACAGGGAGGACAGGGAGGAGGGAAGCACATTGCACAGCCTGTGAAGTTCTGAGAATTGAAGTGAAATTGAAGTCAATGGTCTTGCACCAAAGCGCGTCCTTTTCCTCGGAGGAGATGGCGTGAGGAGCACTGTTGGCATCCAGTAAACCGAGTAGGCTAGGTAGGGCATACAATGAGTTGACCTAATGGAAGCGCTATGTAGGCGACCAGGGCACAAACTTGGCGGTGGATGTGAAGGTGATGTTGGGGGTGAAGATGAGGAAGCGTATTGAACAGGACAAGGTGCAGGTTCTGAACGGCCAGGTAGACATTGTGACATCGAAGGTGTCATGTAAAAGGGCAAGTGACGGAAACAAACGTATACCGTATATAGAGGAACCACAGAACGTGGTGGGCCGGTTGGGGAGAAATCCATGGGATTACAGGAAGGAAGGTGATGCATTGGGCCTTCAGGAAGAGCACAAAAAGCAGCATCAATGTCACGAGATTTGGTCAATCAGTGTGCGAAGAATAAACTCATGGAGAGCCGAAGAACCAATCTCATCTTGAGGATAGGGCAAGTCACCAATGAGACTGAGCGTCGTATGAGTCTAGACTTGTGCAGCGACGTAGGCGTAGCATCCTTCCGTTTTTTCCCAAATCTTGCAACTCATACAGTGTTTGGGGTGTGCAGCTTCAAGGAGTGGCATTCCGTTGGCGTTTGATGGCCGGGGCAATATCATTGCAAGACGTGTGGTATGTTGATTGTGGGCCAGTGAACAAGAGGATGCGACACCGAATATTTTTCCCCCACCAAGGAGCCGCAGGAGCCCCTCAATGAATCAAACAACAACAACAACAACGGTGTTGCTTACACTGTGGGACTTTGGCTCAAGGCCTTCCCGATGGCCTGTTCGTTCTGGCTTTGCTGCTGGTGTTGCTCCTCGTTAAATATTTGGAGTTGATGACCTTGTTGCATATTTTGCTCTAAGTCACCGACCTAGTTTGTGATGGCTACTTCTACGATGGCACATGTAACAAAACTCCTGGCTATGAGAGCCTGCCTGACTTGACCAGCATTGCTGGCAGGAGAAGTTGTGTGGTTGTGCGAGATGGCCAAACCAGAAGCTTGTGCTCATGAGGAGAGGGTGTTACGTTGCCAATTCTGGCGTGATACGCACAGGAAAGTCAAACAAAACGGAACATAACTCAGTGGCTTTTCTGATAGCCCTGGTAAGCCATGCTTCTCGACAGGAGCAGGCGGATGCGCCTGCGTACAAACCAAGTCCATTCATGAAAGCGGCAGTCGCTCGGTTTGATTCGGTTTGTCGATTTGTGTTTTTGACACTGTTTCAGTTTCCCATGTTAGCTTTGCGCGGCCGACTGCGGGTTGCATGCTGAGGCGCAGATTATTGAGGCAAGGGTTTGCTGGCTGCGCAGCTTGGGGAAACAAACAAATATGGAAGCACAGTATATATATATATAATTCATCCCGCTTTAGACCTTTGCACATTTCTTCATCATTCTTCTTGTAAGTCACAAAACTTTTGGGCGTACACCGTGCATGTTACACCGCTACGTGCAGATTGATCTTTCATTTACATTTTGTTCACTACGCAAGGCCTCTGAAGGCCATGTGCCTGACGATTTGTTGCTTTGGCTGCAATCGATAAAGTTGGCCAAAACCTCCACTCGACAGCCTTGTCGTGAAACAATCAGGCACTGGGATCCGCTCACTATGAGCTATGGATGCAAACTCAGACCTGGCGCAATTGCACTTGCAGAATGACCTATGTGCAAATCAAGCGCTTCCATAGCACTGGCGAGGTGGTGGCTCACACCTTGCGGGAGATGCTATTGAATTGCCGACTGAACTGATGATGATCCTGGGATTCAGTTTTAACGTTTGGTGTTAGATCTGCAGCTAAGCCAAGCCAGCAGAAAGGGAGAAAACAACGAAGGAATCTCGTCGGACCTGGCTTGGCAGCTGTGCGGCATACAAAACCATCTCCAGCGGTGCGCATCTCAGTGATTGCAGATTGACGAGCAACTCGGTTTTGCACTGTTGACCACTAGGTACCTCTTGCCCCTTCGCAGGAGCGCGCCAGGACAGATTCTGAGGGGTGAAGTTCAAGCAAACTGATTGGGGGGGACTCGGGGGTTGAGCGACTGATTGTGTCGGGTGTAGGAAGCGACTTCAGCTGCGGAAGGCGAGGTGGCGGTGAGCTTTGGTTCATTTGTGTTCCAGCCAGTGCCTTTTGAGGAAGCTGCAGCCAGGGAGGCTGCAGAGAAAGCCGCCAGAGTCTCACGGAATTCGAAGACATGATCCAAGAATCTCCATATTTTATGCTAAGGCTCAACCAGAGAAGGAGGACCGGTTTATATAATGAAGTGCAGCGGTCAAAACAAAGGATCTCCAGTTTTTGCTACCTTGCATTGCCTGTGCGAACAAGTTTGTCCCGGAAGGTGGAGGAGCCTTTGGATGAGTCATGGATCGACCAATTGGAACAGACCCCTGTCGCAAGCTGTCATGATGTTTGCCACCAAGTGGCCGCCTTGATTTCGTTGTTTGACACGCATTCCCAATCATGCGTTTATACATTGTTCATACAGTATCGGTACAAGATTGTACAAGTTACAAGTACTCGTATATATACTAATATTTACACATACATATACATGTTATACATATACAGTTTGGGTTTGTCGTATTACCTGTAACAGTCAGCAAACAGTT